AGCAGAGGTGCTCCAGCCCCTGGATCATCTTTGTGGCCCTATTCTGAACATGCTGCAACAGATCTATGTCCTTCTTATGGTGGGGACACAAGAACTGGACGCAGTATTCGAGGTGGGGTCTCACAAGAGCAGAGTAAAGGGGGAGAATCACCTCTCTTGACCTGCTGACCACGCTTCTCTTGATACATCCCAGGATGCGGTTGGCCTTCTGGGTTGCATGAGCGCACTGCCGGCTCATGTTGAGCTTCTCATCTATCAACAGCCTCAAATTCTTCTCTTCAGGGCTCCTCTCAACTCGCTCTGTGCCCAGTTTGTATTTGTGCTTAGGACTGGCCCGGCCCAGGTGCAGGACCTTGCATTTTGACTTGTTGAAGCTCATGCAGTTTGCACTGGCCCATTTCTCAAGCCTGTCAAGGTCCCTCTGGATGGCATCTCTTCCCTCAAGTGAGTCCACGGCACCACACAGCTTGGTGTCCTCAGCAAACTTACTGAGGGTGCACTCAGTGCCGTTTTGCATTCACTGTTTGCTGAGGTTTTTTTTTTATATGTTGTACAGTCTAACAACTTGTGCTCACCTCATCCAGACAGACTACAAGCTCTTTGAGCCTAAAGGTGCATTTGTAGAGGGCCTAGTCCAACAGTTCCCATTCATCATCAGCCCTTTCCGGCATTAGCCAGCATAATAAAAACTGCATGTATTGACTGATGGGGAAAAAAAAAAAAAAAAAAAAAAAAGAAGGGAAAGAAGAGGCAGGAGATAAAAGAAACAAAATGGATAAGATGCTTTTCACTGGAAGCAGCATTCAGAAGTGTAAGACCCTCTCCTTTCCCTGATGTCCTCCCCTGACAAGGTCAGCCTAGAAGCAGGAGTCCTCTCCTTTATTCCTATAAATTTTTTTTATTTTTTTAAGCATTTAACATCCACTTCCTGCCCAGTCTGGCACTTACATGCAAGAAAACATATCTCTACGGCACTCTCTTACTGACTGGGGTATCACAGGCCTGTGCTTTTTACTATGTGTTTGCTGAGCACCAAGAGATATTTAAGTCATTTTCACTTCTTGTCTTCATCTTTCCACCCGCCAGCAGCAGTCACAGCCTCAAAAATTATACTTCCTTCTTCATTTCAGGACTGAAATAGTTCATAGTGCCTAATATAACAAACTGTAACATGTTCTCTGATAAAACACATTGAGACAATGGCAAGCCTTAAAAATACTAACCACTGAATGCACACAAGCTGAATTATGTCTTCAGCATACCTAAAACCACAGTTTACTTGAGAAGCTGAAAGAATAAGGAGTATTTTCCCTTCCATTATTATCAACACATGCATGATTCCCCCATACTCTCTGTCATAGCTCTTGGGTTCTTCTTAGTTAAAAATTAAAATAAGTAAGTCTGAAGTTGGGAAAGTGCAGAGCAACAGGTGGAAATTCAGGTACAGGTTGTTAGTGGCTTAAACATCAAATAAAAACAAAGACTTGGCTGGGACAAGAAGACCTCAAAAATATTCCAAGTCTGCTCTTACCAGAGCAAGTGTGCCCTGGTCCATCTCTCCCACCATGTCTGTCACACTAAGCACAGGTATCACACAATACATGTGTGACTCTAGAAACTGATTTTTACCCTCCTGCCAACAAGATGGAAAGCACTTTGTAACCAGCTAGCCTGCTCACGTCAGCTGGGTTTGCAAACACTACCAACCCTGCCTGAGAAATCATCATGTTACTCTCCATAGACAGCAGAGACAAATGATCAATGTGTTAAGAACAAAGAAGTGCCTACCCTGGAGGCTCTCAACCCCGTTTCACATGCAAGGTTCAATTCCCACTCTTCTTGCAATAAAGTGTATCACTACTTCTCAGCCCTGTCACCCTCACCACCAAGTAACCACGCAGGTGCATTCCCAGATTTCCTGCCACAAGACACTGAGTGTCAACAGGGCTACACAGATTATGAAGAATAAATGCACAAATACTTTCAGCTGAGCCAAGGCCACAACATTCAATACTTGGCAGTCTCAAGGCCCTTTTCTGACCCAGGATAACATAGTAATGTGTCAAAGCAGTGAAAAACAGTAAAGGTACTAAAGTAAAAAAAAAAAAACCACAGATATGTAATCTTATGAGTAGCACAAGATTTTCCTGACCACAGCCTGAGTAAAAATAAAACTGTAGAAGGCACATCAGGAACAGGAACCAAGAGCGCTGCTTCCCCACCTCTACCGGGGAGGAATGTTGTCTATGGGGCTGGAGCATAGCTCTTGACAGAAAAGCGTCACCTGCAAGAATAACTATAGAAAGCCGCAGCAGAGGATAGCAAAACACAGCACTTCTAGAACAAAATGTGTTTCAAGGCCATACCAGAACACCTGATTTTAGCAGAGGCATACATAAGGGCGGAATTTGGCCTATATTTTGTAGGCCTTAAGTTTCCATCCATAGCGAAGGGAGAGAAAGCCTCTTGAGTTAGTGCAGCAACCTGTAGAAGAGTAAAACTAATCCTACAGCCTGATGGACAGAAAGACCCCAGTCCCTTAGGAAAAAAAAATACAAGGGCATTTTCAGAAAATCAGCCTACCAAAAAGAGAAAATTGAGAAGTTTAAAGTCTTAAACACTGACCTATGAAAATTCCTTAAGAAACAAAACTCCCTCAGGCAACTAAAAACATTTCTTTTGAATCAAAAAAAATCTTTATCATTTATAAAAAAAAAATTCACTTCATTAAACACAGTGATTTTACTTAAATAAACTCTATTAAGAAGCAAGGGTAACATTTCTCTTGACCATAAGTTTAAAATGTTTCTTACTAACCAATTATACACTTCATAGCTCTTCAGCTGTGACATTAGCACATCCACAGAAAATGCTGCAGCCACCCTCCCAGCTCATCAGTGCAAACAGATCCCTTTTCCAAGATGCTCCTTTTTAGGTGCATCAGTTTGCTGCTTTCTTACAGTTAAAGTAGATAAAGATCAATTTAGCACCCAAAGAAATGAGTTTCTGGGTGCTGGGTAGTGACATCAGCTAAGGCAGTCACCTTAATTCCTGTGACAGAAACCACTGAATGACTCAAACTCTCACCTTTCACTCCTGTAAGGACTCAAAGCTTAAACTGAAGCAAGAAATAGGACAAGCAAGGAGATGAGGTGGCTCCTCTTGTTAGAAATGAAGTGCTTAATACAGCGCATAAGAACAGCTTTCCTACTCAAACATCATGTGAAAAAGTGTTTCAGTGTTTTCAGCCCATCTCCAGAGAGATGGTTTTCCATCAGAGCAGTTTCCATAAAGGCACTGTACATTACCCTGGTAAAACACGGCAGCCCATTTAGCTCCAGACAAAGCTGCAGTTTTATCACTGCATCTTGAGTCAACTGTACCAAGGCAGCAGATGACGGGATTTTCACAAAAAGCAGCTACGTATGCTCCCATAAGGAACTTCAAGCATCCAAATTCCAACAGCAGACAGGAAAGTCAAATTTCGAGTCTTTTAAATGGTCAAGTAATCATAGTGAAAATATTTAAGTCAGCTCGTTGCTAGGACTTTTTGGAATTGTGGTTTACGGAAAGAGCAACAAAGCACTAAAAAAAAAAAAAGGGAGAAAAGTGGAGTTCTTGGTTTAATTTACATTTCTCTTCTAGTGCGCACCCAATTTGTCCATCGGGGATATGATCCAAGTTGTAGCAAAATCAAGTTTAGGACTGTTCTTGTAAGTTTAAGGAGAAGCAGATGGGTTTAATTTTTTACAGTTTCAGTCTTTTGGAGCTCTCTTCCCTTTTCGTTTTACATTTTGAAAGTTATATTTGCCAAGCAGTGCTGGCCCCAACTTTAGTTGTCCTAAAACCATGGGACATTTATGAAAGAAGCTTAATGACAAATATATATATATCCAGCATGGCTTCAAAACTTTACCAAAAACATGTAATTATTAATACACAATCCTGGAAAATTTTGCTTTGCTGCTGCAGGGTCTGTAGCCAGGAGAAAGCGCAACATTATACAAAATCCTGAAAGAACACAGCTAATTGAATAAACCCACTCTTTTCCACAATGGTGCAGATTACATCATCTGTGATGGGCTTGAAAATAAGAGTTTAACTCTACAGATAACTATGTTTCTCAAAAAAAAAAAAAAGAAAGAAAATGAGAGGAAAACATTATTGTTCACCAAACAGAAGACAAAAAGACAGTGCAAGGCTAGTACAGAAAGAATGGTTAATCTCATTTCTAAAAGGGTATTATAAACAACGAATGGTGAACAACAAAAATAAAATAGATTTTAAAAAGGAGAGATACAAAAGTGCTTAATGGTATTCTTTTAAATATTTACTTTACTGCTATTTGGAGAATAATTTGTTCCATTTAGTGGTGTTGGGCTCAAAGGACTGCTTTAATCCAGAGAGATTAATTATAGCCTTTGGAGCTATAAACACAATTTGGGAAACCAAGCAGAGAAGAGGAGAGAGACGCGTCTCATACCGGCGATTAACAAGTTTACACGCTTCGGGGCTACACCACATGGGCTGTGGCCCTGCTACACCTGCACGCTACAGGCAGAACAGTGCACATTAATTGGGGAAAAACCCCAAAATGTCCAGGGAAGACACTATTCTACCCTACACCACTGCTATAGGCAATTAAGATACTTCTCAGGTGTCCTTCACCAAAGTGCAAGTTCACCCGCTTCTTATCAAGACGTCCTCTGACCTTGCTTTTATTACCTGCATCAGAAATGATGACGAGTTGCCATGCCGAGACAAGCAGCAGCGCTCAGCAGGCACAGGACCACATCCACGTCACCTTTAAACCTCTCATGTGCTTTCGCCCAACCCTCCCATCGCTCATCCCCGAGCCCCACACCAGGAGACACAGGGACCAGCGACAGCAAACAGAGAAAGGCTGGGAGCAACCTTACCTAGTGCGGGGTTGGCTACTCCCTCCTCCGAGCTCTCCTCGGCTCCCTCCTCCCCAAGGCCAGAGGTGGCCGAATCCTCCGGGGCAGATGCAGAGCCAGGGGTGCTGGGCCCACTGACGGACCCCGAGTCCCCTTCCTCGCCGCTGGAGCCATAGCGGTCAGGCTGGGCAGCCGTCCCGCCCTCGCTGCAGCTCCTCCGCTCCTTGCGGTGCACCCGGGAGTGTAGCACCATTTGGTGGTAGGTGCGGAAGATCTTGCCGCACTCAAAGCACTCGGTGGACTTGTTCTGGTTGGCCCGCCGGCTCTGCCGTGAGGCAGGGCGGTAGTCCAGGTCCCCCTGGGCGAGAGGACAGCTCTCCCCTGGCGCAGCACTGCTGGTTTTCTCCAGGCGCCCACTGGTGCAGCTCTTCTTCTTGGGGTTGCTGGAAGAGCTGGGCAAGTCCTGGTCTCGCTTGCGCTTCTCCTGGTTGACGAGGATATACTCTCTCTTATCCTTGTCGTAAGTCACGTCTGCATCAGCCAGGGCCTCGTCCCATCCTACATACTTCACATACTCCGAGGGCTCTACTACTTTTCCTTTGGTGGCCAGCTGCCAAGCTTGGTAGCTACTGACCGGATCCAGCTCGGCTACTCGTTTCCCAGGCTGTCCTCTTGTAACTCTATCCAGCCCTACAGATGGCCTTAGATTGAGACACTGCAAGAAAAACTGCTTCGTTACTGAAGAGCTTAGGCTCCCTTCACTTAAGCCCTCGGCTTTACCTCCAGCGCTGGCCTGCTGCACCCGGTAGTGAACAGCATTATGCGCTTTCAGGCTTTCCATATTTGTAAACAGATTTCCACACTTGGTGCAAACTTCATACAGAGACAGGCCCGTCACAATCATCTCCTCCTGTATCACATCATTGATAGTGGCTATGAGCTCCAAATCATTTTTTGGTCTGTTTTTGCTCCCGGCCTTGGGACCGTGCGACTTCATGTGGTTTTTGAGAAACCAGGGCTCTTTGAATCTCCTGCCACAAATGTGGCACCCGTGATCAAATGACCCCCTGTGTTTCTTCATGTGAGCTTTCAGGAACCAGGTTTGACTAAAGGTCTGACCGCAGACTTCGCACGGAAACTCTCCCGCATTCATCTCGCTCTTGCAGTTCTCAGCATAGGCCTCCCCATTTGGGACCTGAGCTGTTATATGGTCCTTCTCTACATGGTTTAACAGTGTCTCCTCCCTTAGGGTCATATAGCTACACAACCTGCACTTGAACGGTTTATGGACCTGGTGCAGGTGCTGCTCCAAGTCCTTCTTCCTTTCAAATTTGTTTTTGCAGAAGGTGCACTGGTAAGAGGTCAGCTTGCCATCCTCCTCAGCTGGCACCACCTCTATGACCTCCTTCTTGCTGCTTCTCAACAAGATCTTGCTGCTATCTACCTGAGCGGTACCGTTCAAGATCTTGTTGCAGGCAGACGTACTTTTAGTGGGGCTGGTGCACCCACCAAGGCCCTCCGAAACACCCATCTCCCCCAGCTGCGCCTCTCCCACCTCCACCTCATGTCCCTGACTTAAAGTGCCTGTTCTGTGACTACGGATGTGGATCTTCAGGTTGCCCTTTTGGGAAGCTCTGTGATCACAGTAAGGGCATTTGTAGGGCTTCTCGCCCGTGTGCTTCCTCATGTGCTGCGACAAGGAGCTCTGAAAAGGGAAACTTTTACCGCAGATGCAGCAGCTGTGGCACATGGTCTTGTCAGTATCCATGTCATTCTTGCTTAGTTTGCCGGGGCTGGAGGACCTTCGTAACTCCATTTCTGTCTCTCTACGATGATCCATCTGTATTACTGCAACATCAGGTGAGTGAGGCAGGAGGACAAAAGCATGTCCGGCAGCAGAGGAGGGCTGGACCGCGTTTTCAATCATACGGTTCTGCAGAGAGATGTTTTATTGCTTCATTCTTGGGATAATGTTTCTCCTTTCAGCTGCTTGAGAGAGTTCGAAGTGTCGATTTATTTCTGTGTGCTCTGTAAGCAGACGGCATCGATCACCTGAAACAAGAACAAAATTACACAAGTGTACAGAAACTGTGTAAGTGGTTCTTAAATATATTTAAATCTAATCGTACTTTAAATCAACACCACGTTCAGAAGCTTACTATACTATGATCCTATAGAACAATTTATTGCACAGAAAAACAGCAGCTTCTCCTTTTCATGTTATTCAAGACTTCAATGGCAAGCATCATTAATATACAATCAAAATCCAAGTAAGAGCAAAGACTCATTTCCATACGCTGACATCACAGTGTTTTTTTAAAAAGTGCAAACTTTAAAAGTATTTTTTGTTTTAAAACCAGGCAGAAGGGGCTAAAAATACACCTTGAACAAAGAAAACATTTCTTGAGGGTGTTATTACACTTTAAATATGTGGCTTTACCATCATGTGTAATTTAATGTAAAATACTTACTTGCCAGAGATAAAAGGCTTTCCTAGAGACTTTAGCAAGCATCATATTCCTTCTGGCAACTGTATTACTTTGCATCTCAGACAGCTCTGCTGTGCTTGATGTGGCATGCACAGAGCAGGCGCAAAGGCTGAGGACACTCAGCACTTTGATTTGAGAGAAAACAAGAATCCAGAGCCTGACAAAGCATTCAGAAATACTAAAAGTTACTTCCTGATGGACCACGAAGAAAAAAAAATACCCTTCAAGTGTAATATTTAGTCTCAATCTAACAAAGTACACTGATAATGCATGTAGATATCAAATGATCTATAAAAGTGAGTAATTTATGTCAACAAGACACAGAGAAAACCACAGCACTACCCACCTCAATGAAACAAAATCTTAACCATAATCAAACACACAAAACAAAGCAAGAAACAACTCTGATTAACAAAATAGATTAAAAGAAGTTTCAAAGCTTTTGTATCTTGTCACGACTAAATGCAAGGGTCAATATCTGCCTCAGCAACGCAAGATGCAACACACCAGCAAATCCACCTTGTATACGGCAAAAAACAATGGTTAAGATCTCCAAAGATGTTTCTTTTCCGGTTACCACACTGAACAAAAATCTTCCCCCCTCCCTATCCTCATTAAGAACTAAAAACACCACATCTCGTTCTGTCCCCATGTGTTGCCTGATCTAGTCGAGAGGTGGCGTCCCTGGTGACAGGGAGGCTGGATTAAAATGATCTCTAAAGTCCCTTCCAGCCTATGTCATTCTATGATTCTATGATCAAAAAATGCTGTATTCTCTAATAAAGAGAACCAATTTATTACTACATTAAGAAAACATCATCTTCTTAAAACATAGCCAAAAATATGCAGAGCAATAACAAGACTACATATTCACGTATCCATCACTTGACATCTATGACTCAATAAATAAAGAGCTATAGATCTAAAGTTGCAAGTTTTGAGGTTTATCATTGTATTAATCCCTGAGTCTCTTCAATATGTAAATAAATAAATAGTCACCAGTATGCGCCTAACAAAAAGCAAGGTGAAATTGATGTAATGCTCATCTCAGTTACACACTATAAAATAACTTCATTATGTTTAAATTAATCTAGCCCTCTTATTCGCTACAAGGCCATTCACTTCTGGGTTTTGCAGAAATAGTTTGATTTTTCTGCATATCTATTGCCCAGTCACAGATATTAAGAGTTATCAACAGCATCTACCCAAATTACCTTTTTCTTATAGAGCTGGCAGTAATATCTAAGGGACATGTTATAATTGCAATTCCACTTTTTGAAAAAAAATAATTTTTATATTATGATTAATTTATTCTGTCTTAAAAAAAAAAAAAAATCACATCAGATCAAATTCAGAAGTCCATATGACCAGGAAGTTTACAAACAAGAGTATCTAAACTAATCTCTGAAATTAGCCATTTAAAAGTAAATTGAGGGGCAGCCTCAGAAGAAACTCTCTGGGTATAATAAAGGATGGCAGCCACAGGAAGTTGTGGCTGCACCATAAAGTACAAAAAACATTCCAAACAGCAACGATAAATGTATATTTATACTGCATACTGGCAGCTGAAACAATTCAGAGAAACATCTTATTTGACCCCTAATCTAAATCTGTTAACTAACAGTTCATTTTGTCTTGTAATCAAAGACTCATGTTAAAACTCATTAGACAATAAGAAGAAACACCAGGGTAACTTCTTGAATTTAACGATAGAATACTTGAACAAACAGCAGCTTCTTCTGAAATGTTCTGCACCACTGTAGAAAAGAAGATAGCAAGCTTTGGGGACAGATTTTCCTACGTTTTGCATTTTCTACATTTTAACTCAACTTTCTACAGTGCCTCCTGTCTTAAAGTTCAAGAAGACTTCAAGAGCCAAACTTATAACAAGAATGCTGTACACAGCAGTTCAGGCACATACAAATCTGAAGCTTCGGAGTCCCTTTGTTTACTTGGCCACAGCTTCCCTGTACTTAGTCTTGTCATACTTCACTTTAATTATTTATAGGATATTCATTAATGAAACTTAGTTATGAAAATGAGGATATGAAGAAAGCATTACTTATGAGAGGGATATTAGCCACTTTCAGGTGATCCCCCTAGCCCTATATTAAATTAGGCCTGACGGGGGAAAAAGTCCGAGTTAAAAAATTACGATATTATTTTATTAATCTAAAATACTTAATGGAAGTGTTATCATCTTCACCAAAACATTCCGAGAAAATTGCTTCATCTTTATTACTTTAGCTTAGCCAATGCACTTCAATTTATAACTTTAAAAGTTGAAATGAAGTATTCCTGGATTTTAATTATTTGAATTCATACAAGGGATGGAAGATGTAAACGGGAAAAACAAACTGCACTGATTATTCTTCCACTGTGAGTAAAATTTCACCAAAGCTATTTTAGCTTCTTTCTGGATGACTGCGATGATTTAAAAAAAAAATGTATTTTGAAATAATTATAAATTTGAAATTCTCAAATAATTCCCTTTCAGTACATGTATGTAGAACATGGCCACCTCCAGCTACGCTAAGGATAGTAAAAAAAACTGTTTCAACTCTCAGCAATTTCAGGTGTTAAACACAACCTTTCATCACTTTGGTCCAAGCTCGTCCTGGTGCTTCTTAGCACCAGCTCATCACACAGAATCCACAGCAGAGTCGTGTCCAGCGTGCAGATTTTTCCCGGACTGTCACAGCACAGAGATCCACACTAGCACAGGGGCAAGTCATAAGGAAACAGAAGTGAACTGTAAATTGATATGTAGTCTTTCGAAACATTTTGTGTGGTTTAATGGCATTGCAGCCTACATCACATGCCATACAACTCCCTGAGAGGGGGCATATGAACTAGATTCACTTCATGTTGTTGAACTAGGGATCAGCAGTTCACCTAAGAAAGCTATGGCCAGTGTCCGGGAGGCATTTTCAGCCCCTTTAAAACACATGGGGGCACTTAACATCATCCCTGTTTACATGTAGGTTTGGTATATAAAGCAAGGTGGAAGAGAAACATGTACAAAGACCCAAAACGAGGAGGGGCAGTATGCCAAGAAATGCCTTTGCTCAGCCAAATGCTTTAGTTGCAAGGCTTGTTCCTGCCCCCATTGCCTCTCAGAGAGTCTTTGCCTTGACCCACGTGGGAACAAATGCAAATAAACTTTTTTTTATTCCCCTCCCAGAAGGGTAATCATACTTTCCTACCAGATTAAACCAAGCATTTGTCAGAATCTACTCTATATCAAACATTTAGGCATCGAAAGTTCTCTGGTCTTAAAAAAAAGAAAATAACTCGGACAGAGCTCTTGGCGTGAAAGAAAACACATTTGCCCAAGGCGACCTGCTCTCACCACAGAGCTCCAGCACCTTTCCCAGTATCAGCCACGGCTTCCCCAGCGAGGCCGCGGCAGCCCATCCCTGTGGCGGCGCATGCTGGGCTGCATCATCCTCACAACTTCCGCAAGATCCTCATGTAGCCTTGAAGTGAAGCATGCCCAAAAGTATGGAGGAATAGCACTTTAAACAAAACAGGGGAGCTCTGAAATACCTGTTACTCTCCTTTTCATGTCTCCTGCATGTTCTGGAAGAGGATTGGGAATCCTATGAGGACTTGCTGTAGGGCAAGACAAAAGCCTCTTAAAGCACCTTTTGTGCCTTGTGGAAAACAATTAATAAAAAAATATAAATAAACAACATAAGAAAATTGAAAAGGAAAATTCAAGAGATACCATATTGAAAAAGTAATTGCAAATTCATTTCTTGCACGCAAATATCCTGTACAGTGCTGAGAGGAAAATATACATGAAAATTATCCCTGTTGCAATATACAGATGACTGTACATTCTTTTTTTAATTATTCAGTTAAATCTGACTTTAGAAAACATATAGCAAGTGCTGTAGTGGCAAGAAACAAAAACTCTTCAATGAGTAGTAAACAAGAACATAAGATCTGAGAAGCTACACTGACCTATTCAAACAGCACAGTGCATATTTTAAAACAAACTGCTTTCAGTTTGGGTCTGAATAAGTCTGATGGGTCTAAGTCCCATCTGAAAGATAAATGCACTAGAGAAGTATCTCTCTTTTAGTCTCCAAGGCGTTTGAATATACATTGCAATCGCTCCACCATGTGTTTCTGCCAAAAGAAACAACTGAGAAAAAAAAACAAAACTAAACACTGTGAGGCGTAATCGTGTGGAACAAATATCTTACTGAAAATCCATCTAGATGATGAAATGATAGGACATAGCATGTTAACATGTAGGTGAACTTGAGAAAGTCGTATCTTCCAAAGAACAGCAGCCTGGAGAGTTGATCTCTCCTGATTTAAGAAGGCTCGGGTAGCCCCAGAGCCAAACTGACTTTGCTGTTCAGAGCAGAGGCCAGAAGAGAGCGAAGTGCAGGAGAAGAGTGGACAAAACACAGAGGAGGTTTTA